TGGAACGCGTTCAAGCTCGTCCGCCCCATAATGATGTTATAAGATGATTCAGCCCCTACGACCACAAACCTCACCATGCGCACCTTTCTCAGTTCGCCCACTCCCAGCGCCACTGGCAAACTTACCTCACCCATCGGCATCACCTCCCCTCCATTAAAGCCATAGAGTGTCGTGGTTACCGGTTTCAAATCCGTATTTAGCTCTTTGTTAATTTGCACGAAACAGTCATAAAACATCACGTCCACCGAACTCCCGGTGTCAATAAACACCCTTTTCACGTCGAAGCCTGCAACCTCAACGGTTATCACCAAAGCGTCGTTGTGTGGTAAGACCACTCCCTCGGCATCCTCTGCTTTAATACTTATGACCGACATGCGAGCCGTAATCCCCACCTCCTCTCTCTTCCTCTTCACAGCTCGAGCATGATCCTTCCTGACCCTATTCGAGTCTCCATCCGTTGGCCCACCGGAAATCATGTAAATCGTCCCTCTCTTCACCGGGGATTCTCCTATATGCCTCTCTTTATCGCCATCTCTCCTTGGCTTCTTTCCTCGACCGTCTCGACCATCTCTGCCATCTCCCTCCTCATCTCTATCACTCTTTTCTTCCGAATCCTCCCTACACCTTCTCCTTCCTTTCCCTTTCACCCTGTCATGATACACAAATTCTTTCAAATATCCCGCTCGAATCAGCCTCTCGATCTCATCTTTCAAATGTCTGCAATTCTCCGTGGTGTGACCATAATCTCGGTGAAAGGGACAGTAAATATCCGACCTAGGTCGAATTGGGCCTGTAAACCTTGTCTTCGGTCAAGTCACATTTTCACTCGATATCTTCTGCTCCATGGCCTCGAGGACCTCCGTCATGTCTTTCCTCAAGGGCGTGAAAGTGTGGTATCTCTGTCTCTCGAACAACATCGGCCTCCTCTGCCTCTCATCTCTCTTCTCCCTTTTCGAATCTCGACTCTCTCTTCGGGGTGATGCCCTCTTCTGCCCACTCCGTTTGGGCGAATTCCTCCTCGGCGATCTCCCCCTCTGCGGACTTTTCTCCTTTTTTGGCTCTGGTCGAGCCACTCCCTCCAACTTTGCAAACTCCATCTCCATCTCCTCCAAGTTAATATACTTCCTGCACCGCTTCAGCACGTCCTCATATGATCGAGCAGGGGTTTTTGCTAGGGATGTTCGACAAGGCCCTGCTTGAAGACTCCTTATCAATCCACCAGCCTTCACCTCGTCCGAAGCCGAGTGCACCTCTAAACATGTTTGGTTAAGCCCTGCACCACCGCGCTCGAATATTGATTGATAAGCTTGCCAGTAAAGTCCTCAAAGCTCGCGATCGACCCAGGCGGAAGTTGATGAAACCAATCGAGTGCTCCTCCACGCAGGGTCGATAAAAATTCCCTACAACAAACAGAATCATAGTACCCATGCAACACAGCCATATTTTCAAAGGTCCTCACATGCCTTTATGGGTCAGATGACCCGTCATACACCAAGTTGGTCTCCTTGAAATTGTTTGGCAAAGGAGCAGCGAGAATCTCCCTTGAAAAGGGATGTCCTCGAGCTCTCCTCTCTGGCCTCCCCTCCACCTTGTCTTGCAGCTGGCACAACTGCTCCACCATCCTCTCCATTGCCCGATCCCTTCCAGCTCCTCCTTCTCCATAACTAGACACATCCTCATCCTGGCTTCCGGCCACCGTGGTCGGCGCAGTGGTGGCATGAGATGTATGACTCGCAACTTGCTGCAGCGCCTGCGCCGCCGCAGCCGCCGCTATCCTCTGCATCTCCTCTCGGGTCATTGCCACCATTTGTTAGCCGGGGGCTTGTATGGCTGCCTGTGGTGTCACTCCTCCTTGCGCCAGCACTCCTCCCTGCCCTTGTGTTGGATCTGGTGGTGGTGGTGGTGGCATCACCGCTGCTGCTGCTACACGAGCCTCCTGGGCCTGACTGGAGCTGGCATCTCCTCCGGGAATCACCGTCGTCACTCCTACACCTTGAAAGTTAGGTGCGGGAGTGACCGGAGTCTGCGATGGGCCGGAAGAGCCCAGAGGAAGGTCGTGCCCCAACGGCCTGGTCGTCGTCCAAGCTTCATCGAACGTCGACTGCAAGTTTTTAAAAATCCCGTCCGCCATAGGTGAGCTTCAAACACAACTTTTTGAACAAGGAATCCCCACAGACGGCGCCAATAATACAAGTGTAAGCGTCCGGGTCCGATTCGAACGGATAGATCTGGGTCCTCGCCGGTAGAACGTAGGAAACCTGCAAATAACTCTCACACCGGGGGTTGTGTCCGGTGAAGAGCCTCCGAGCTTAAGTCAGTATGTGTATGAGTATGCTGAAGTGAAGTATGGAAAATAGAATGTGTTCAAGGAAAAAGGCTCACCCCCTTTATATAGGGGTGAGATACCTGCCCTAATAG